CTTTTTTTTGTTATGAAGAGGAATGGTGATTATGGAACAAGAGAGAAGAAGAAGAGAATAAGATGAAGAAAAAAGGGCAGTAAGTTAGATGGGATGGGGTTAGGTGGGGGTGAGGATGAGGGTGAGCGGAAAGATTTTTTTTAATTAATTTAATTTTTTATATATTATTAAAGGAAGGAAAATATTCTTTATTTTTTAAAATAAAATTAATGGGCCCATGTGCCACGTGTCGTAGTTCTATTCGTACTTTTTGTCAAGATAAAGAGTGTGCATTACACGTACAGTATTTGTAAAGATAGTTGTTATTTTGTGTTCAATAGATAAATATTTATTAATATTAAAGTGTCTAATAGGTAAGAGTCTTAGCTAAATGAATTATGCGGACAACTTTAAGGGGCTATCGATGACTTATGCCAATTATTAATCATTTGCACAATTATTTGTAAATATGTGTATTGTTACGAATCTTATGATATTATATTGTGTTTTATTATAAAAAAAGCTAGCGACCCTTCACATACTTACTTCTCTGACTATATTTCATTAAATTTTCAAAAAAATTCTCGACTGTTAAAATAAAATGATTAATATGAAAACAATTTTTATAATAGTTATGGAATTCAAAGCACAAACATAGATTTTTTAACTTTAGAAAAAATAAAAATTTAAATCGCGTTTCATAGTAAGTACATATTTTTTAAAAAAATTATCTCATTTCATCAATTACTTTAAGCATGGAGACATGACTCGAAGCTTAAAATAACGCCTTATTAATAAAGTAATAATAAGTAAATCTTAAGTCTAACAATCTTAAAATGTGTATACGCTCTAATTAAACTAAAATTACAATTCAATTTTCTTTTTAAAAAAAGCTAAAACATTAATAATCTTATGATCATGGCTAAAAATGGATTAGTGGCCCAAAAAGTGATTATCTTCCAAGTAATAGGTGGTTAGATCAACAAATTACTAAGAAAAGGGACCGGAGTGAATTTTTACAAATTGAAGAGGTGGATATGTAAATCACAAAAAAAGTCAATAGGTTGCCGTATTAAACTCAACTTTCCGACGATCGCCGGAACTGGAAAAAGCTCCTCTCTCCGGGAATGGCAGGAATGGCTATGTTTGCCTCTAATCTCTCCAGCGAGGTATCCTCTCTCTCATTCTCTCCCCAATGTTTACACTGATCTGACAGCGATTGGGTTTATTGACAATCCGTTTGCTGCCAGTTATGGCCCATGCTTAATTTCATATGTAGAGTTGGGTTTTTCTAATTTAACCAAGCTTTCTTCTAAGATCAGTAGCAATTAAGGCTTTAGGGCTATGTTGTTGTTTCAATTTAGCAGATTATAGAAAGATAATTGTCGCCTGTGTTTTCACCCAGTCACGAACAACACTTTGTTTCCAGTAAGATGATGATATGTTTATTCCTTTAAGCATCACCTGTTGTATCCTAGAGGGACTAGGAAGCATACACCAGATTCTAGAAGCAACTAGGCAGTGTAAAATTCAGACGATTTGCACTTTCGATTTCAAACTTAAATGTAAAATTCAATAAAAAGAGAAAAAAACACAACAGAAGAATTTTTTATATTAGAGTATCATTTTTTACATTTGGCCTTTTTCAGAGGATCACCACCTTCATTGGACGAAACAGTGAGGGTTTTCCAGATTGGTCTGTCAAAGGTGGGATTAGACTAGATAAAATTATCTCAACAAATTGGTCGTCATGTTAAATGACCCTTTAGGTGTCAATACTTTAGTATAAAATAATGAATGATTTCATCAGATTGTTAGAAGCATATAGAGAATATCATCATTTCTGTCATGATGTAGAGTTCTGAAGAAATGTCGAAAAAGACGGTGATCTTTTAGATCTTCTTGCCAATTATGGTTACTTGACAAGTTGGTAAAATTTGTAAGTACCACTTCCCAGTCTCAGAGTGTTTGAACTGGTCGCCAACCTCTCTTGTTCTGCAACCCTTGAGGTTCATCTTACAATTTTACTTTTCAAGCTTCACTAAAACTTCTTTTTTATTACTGGTCATCCTTGTGCTTATAACTTTCATTTATGTCTGTATTTAGAAGGTATAGGTTCTTTCTTCTTTTCTGGTCTCACATCACTTTCTTTTTGATGCAGATGGGGTTAAAATTGCTTCTTAGCCCGCTTAATACTAATGTTATTGTCCGCACTGCATGGTGAGCTCTTATTCGAGTCTGGATATTTTCTTTTTCATGATCCCAGTTGATTTTTGCCGTTGTCACTTTTATGTTTAAGAAGGCATCCTACAACTGTTGCTTGGGATGAGCCAGATGCAAAAGTTCCAGTGCCGTTTCACGAGCCTGAAGAAGTTTTGTTTCTAATAGACATTCTGAACTCTAATTGTTTAGTCGCTTCTATTATTTGGAAAATTGAAGATTCTAATTGAACTTTAAAAGGTATTTGCAGCTGTTCTGTAGGGATTGTTTTGCCTGTTTATTCTACTTTTAAAGCAATTGAGACGGGGAATCGAAATGAGCAACATAAATGGCTTCTGTACTGGGCAGGTGATGATGCTTTCCGAAACTTTACAAATTTCTTTTGCTTTGCAAATCTTGAAATTGCATTTTTCTCCACAAGGTACTGATTAATGTCCTCGCCACAAAATATTTCTGTTAAGTTATATTATATGTCCTTTTGTTTTCCCTAATACCATGTGAAACTATTGTTGGGAAAAAATCTAAGAGATCATTTGAAAAGCAATAAAAGGATGTTGTCGAGTCTATTGAACAAGAAAATACAACAAAAATTTAATTTAGATCCTCCTTAAAATCATCTCATTTTTTGTAAGAATGACCCTGCTATACTTGTAATCTCTCAATTACTTGCTACATCTCGGACTCGGGTGTGGGTATCCGTTATGGGTGCAGATCTAGAGGTCAGATTCCTCATCACATAAATTGTAGGATTCTGATTTATGTATATACATACATATACATATACATATACATACATACATATATATATATATATATATAGGAAAAATAACTTAAATACACAACTATAAGTTTAATATTCTCTAATTTACCCTTTTTTTTAAAATATTACATAATTCCCTTTTTTTTAACTATTAGTAGAAGTTTAGAGATACATAGTCTTCTCTCTCCTATAACACACATCCCCAATATCATGCCTATTTTTTCTCTACTAAAACACTCAATCTTCTGAATCACTTTTTGAATTTTGAATTATTAATTTTAATTAAAAACGTTTCACAACATTTAATATGAAATTTTGAATTCAAAATTCAAAAATTTTGAAATTTCTGAAAATTGGACCATTGTTCTCTGGTTCTTTTTCTTCTTATGAATGTTCATAGAAGAGCCGATGTAAGCCAACGGCGTGATTTCTACCCTCTGCGGGGCTCCGGCGGTTCCCTACTGTCGTATATATACTTGCGTGGTATATCTTTAGTAATTACTGTACTTAACTTGGCGGTAAGTACAGAGTAATTAATTTTGGAAGCAGAAATTAGTGGCTACTTAATCCATCATTTATATGTTTTGGTGTATTTTGATTGGTATAATTTGACTAGATAAATTAAAGGTTGACAAAATACAACAAAAAAAAAGAGAAAAGAAGCAGCAACCATTGTTGTTGAAATTAGTAAAAATTTTAGTAAAGGAATCTCATATGTATCATGAATTTTTGAAAATTGTTATCTTGTATCAGACAATAAGTTTAATACATAAGTACTCAGTGTGTTATAGTGTGTTAGTCGATACATTGATACATGAATTAGATGTGTATCATATGATTTCCTATGTATCAAGAGTTTTTGAAAATTGTTATCATGTATCAGTCAATAAGTTTAATAACTGCGCCATCAAGTGTGCTTGCTGATACATATCGACTCAGTGTGTTATAGTGTTTAGACGGTGCACTGATACATGAATTTAATGTGTATCGTATGATTTTCTATGTATCACGAGTTTTTGAAAATTGTTATCATGTATCAGTCAATAAGTTTAATAACTGGATGTTCATAAAAATGTCTTCAAACTAGATGATATAATCTTGAATTTTCAAAATTTGAAATTGTTATCCAATTACGTGCTGAATTAATGCTTATTAATGAACTGTTACCGTAATTTCAGCTGATTTAGATAACAAATTTAAATGTTCCGTTTTTTCCCCTTTTAATCTTAACAGTTTTAAGTTACTGTGTATCATTTACCATGTATCACAACATACTAATGTATTACACCACAACAATTTTAAGGGATTATTAGTAAATACTAAATTTATCGGGATAGAATGTAATTATTGTATTACACTATGGGATTCCTTAAATTTATATATATATATATATATATATATATATATTCATATTTCGATTAATTAGTGACATTGACTAAAACTAGTAAATTTAATTCTTTATAAACACGTACTTTTATTCACAAGATATCTCTTTAAGTAGCAAAGTGGTGCTTATAATATGAGATAAACCCAAAAATCAATCCAAATACCCTCCGATCTATACTTCTTGGTCATAGATTTAGTCAAAGCACCCAAGCTAAGTTGATCAGATCTAGCGTGGATCCCACACCCAAATTGTGTCGGATCAACACGGGTGCGACAACGATTTTGAAGGGTCCAAGCAACATACAGTGGCAAATAAGATTTTTAGAACATGGGTGCATCACTAAAAAAAATTACTGTATGAAGTGGTAATTGATCCCCAGTTCAGAAAAAATATATGAAGTGGGAGTTGATTCCTAGATCTCAAGGTAAATAACTCAACATTCAACCCAAGTACACCATTAGTCTTCTTTAGCATGGGTGCCACTGCCAGAACATAATATTATACCAATTTTAGAAAATATATACATTAAATATCTAGGTTTACAAAAAAACCAAGGGTCCATGTGCCCCATATTTTGCCTATAAATTCGCCCTTGGCAATATAGACATCACTTGATTTGATATATGACCCCAGCAGAAAGTGAGCAATTGGTACAGATTGGTGTTTGTCTTTTTCTTCCACTTCTGGTTATTAATTCTATGATGATTTTTCAGAAGATGTCACTGATTCCAACCACGCCCCACCAAACAAAAAAATAAATAAATAGAAGGAAACTTCCACTCCCCTGAATACTTTTGCTTTCCTGGTGACTTATTTTTACCTATTAAAGGCCTAATCACTGTGGGTTGAATGTGACACAATAACTAGTTTTAGATTTATGTGATTGCAATTATCTTGCCCATATATCTCTTTGAAATGAATCATAAGTTACTCTCTCTCACTCCCTCCCTGCTTGCAGCATATGGATCTTTCAGTATTGTTGAAGCATTCACGGATAAATTTCTCTACTGGTACTGCTTCCGTTTTTGTTTTCTAATTTGCTTATAGCCGCTCTGATGTGGCTACATGGGGTTATAAGTTTGGGAATACCAATTTTTACTAGCCTTGCTCTTATAACATGGAAGAACTGTCTTATTCATAGGTTCCCACTATACTATCATGTGAAGCTCGCATTTCTTGTTTGGCTTCAACTTCCATCTGCTGAGGTGAGTTCAACGGATATTTTGTTTCGTGAACTTTATCTCTCTCTTTCCGTTCCATTTCGCGTATCCTGCTTTGGGGGAGGATTGGTGTAAAACACAATTCACTTTCATGGTTTATGTATCCCGAATATATCCCCTTCCCCACTCCAAAAGATAAGTGCTTGGGAAAAATCAATACCTTTACCGTTAAGAAGACTGTGACTATATGAGCTAACAAATTATAACTGGATATTCTTTCCATATGAAAGCATTGTTGGTTCTGCTATTGAAGAGAAAACCGAGGAAAGATTGAAGAATAACATGTTTGGGAGGAGAAGATAGATGAAGTCATGAAGAGATATACAGAGATGGAAAGAAGAGAGAGAGACAGAAGGTAAGTAGGCGAAGCTTAGGTTTCGAATAAGAGAAAAAGAACGTGGAACGTAGGTTTCAAGCCAGAGACGAGGAAGGTGGGAGTCTTAGAGAGGATGGGTGGGTGAGGGGAAGCTAGTGAATCTGGCAGACAGTGGAAAATAGAGAATGGTGAGGATAGTAAACTATATTTAATAATTAGGATAATCATCACTGGTCCCTTTGTAACTTTTTTTAATCAATTAAAATTAGCATTAAGATGACTTAATCTCAACATACTTGCGAGCATATCCAGCCAAACCTCCTGGATAGAAAAAAAGATCTAACTGCTTTTGAGTTGAATTTAGATGAACTGCTTAATTGGAGTTGAGGATGTAGCTTTAGCTTGAACTTTATACTTAGTTTTTCCACCAAAAATGGACTTTTTGAAAGTTATGCACTTCTTTTGGTGTCACACAGGGTGCAAAGCAATTGTACACGAACCATCTGCGCCCTTTCCTCATGAAACACCAAGCAAGACTGGATCATATTTTGGAGTTATTTCATGGAGAATTGGTAAGAGTTATCTGTTCACTATGTTGTATATTTGCATATCAAATGTGTAGATGCAACTTGCCATTTAATTGAAAAATATGTTCATCTAGTTCACTTTATTAGGATGCATTTTTGTTGCTTGCTGTTTTAGCCTTCTTCCGAAGATTTTCAGAAATTTCAGTGCAATGCTGGAAGAAGTCAAGAAACTGTTATCATGCATCTAATCTCATAGGACTGCTTAATGATTCTTGTTTAATAGTTTGTCTCTAACATATATATGTGCAACTTGTTATGGATTTTTGAATCGTTAATCAGATTTCTTATAGAAATAAAATTTACAGGGTAAATTTATTAGTACTCACCAAGCAGAAATTCAGTTTGCAAAGGTGCTTCTTGGCAAAACCTTACTATCAGGTAATCCTTTTATATGTATGATCTCCATCGTAATATATTTTGACAGGAAAAATCTTCCCTCATCTTGTGTTAGCTTTCACGAGCTATTTCATGGTGAACAACGTCAGTATTTATCCATTTATCATTAAAGAAGAAAAGAAGTTTCATATTTTAGTTTGGATCTGTATCATGTACATCAAAGGGGATAGATTTAACCAATTGAATTTCCTTTTTTATATTTAGTTGGAAATATTCTTCAACAACCTGCGCAAGGACGAGTTGTTGGCACAATTGAAGGGCCAGCAGAGCAAGTAGAGACTTCAGAATCTGAAGATGAATCGTGATGCGCTCTTCAAAATCAGCTAATAAGTACCGTCTCTCTATTGTACTTCATATCAACTTAGTTTAGCTTTCGTTCAAGATAGGAGTGATCAGTGTATACATAATTTTCTAAGGAGTCAATTTTGTTGTGGTTTGAGAGTTTCCTTCTCCGTTTTCCTGTAAATATATCAACAGAAACTGCTGATTTCCTTCAATCTCGTAGGGCATTATAAGATTTCACATTGTTTTTAACCATTTTAGCAGACTTTGTGCAGTTATTGCTTTGTATGCATTGTGAAATAGTACTTATTTACTGGGAGTGAAGTTGTACTGACTATCCTAATTATTCAGACACTATTTGAAGCATAACCGTGGAAATTGAATTTAATTGTTGCAAGTTTTAGTTCTTGTTGGGAGTGCCACCTTTCAATTTGCAATACGAATTTAGTCAGAGATCAAATGCGGGCTTCGGAGTTCGGACACCGAATGAGAAATAAAAAAAAAGGTGGTGTTGGAGCTATCTAAGTATGATAAAGCACAATGACGTGAAAATTTGACTAATTCTATTTACATGTGTACCACCTCCCACCAATTTATATGTCAATTCGCAATTAGAATTTAGTCAGAGATCAAATGCGGGCTTCGGAGTTCGGACACCGGAAGAAAAATATTAAAAAAAGGTAGGGTTGGAGCTATCTACGTATGATAAAGCACAATGACGTGAAAACTCGACTAATTCTATTTACATATGTACCACCTCCCACCAATCTACGTGAGGATTGAGTAATTCTAAGTAAAAAATTTCAATCGGAATATTTACTTAGAAATCTCACGATTCTCATTGCTACCATTAGTCCCATCAAAAATTTTGTTTATTCAGATCACGTCAAACAACAAGATATCATATTAATGACTGGTAACACAATTTTAGTATTATTATATATCAATGATATACATAAAATATGATGATTTTACATTGAATTTGCTAATAAGAATTGAGTAAAGACTAATGAGCATTCAACTTTGACGAAACAAGGACTAAGTACAACTTGGATCGACAACAATACAATTAATCAGTGGTATATATTAAAACTCTGACTTATCTGGGGACTTAATTGTATCTTTTCTATAATTAGAGGACCAGTTTGTAAATAATTACATTAAACCCCTCCACTTTTCTCATTGCAGGGTCCATCGGCAAGCAGCAAAATATACTAAAGCAACGGACTTCGGCGGTTTCAGCTCATTCTTCTCAATCTACTATCACTCACTCATGGCGGCGGCGGCGGTAGCGGTAGCGGAGACCCGGAAGCTCCCGCGGCCGGGAAGGGGCGGAGTTGTTTCCCTCGGCCTGACAGAAGAAGAAGCTAGAGTTCGTGCTATAACGGAGATCGTTAACAACATGGTGGAACTCTCACGGAAAGGCAAGGATGTTGACCTAAATGCGCTAAAGTCAGCAGCGTGCCGAAAATACGGGCTCTCTCGGGCTCCTAAGTTGGTAGAGATGATCGCTGCTTTGCCTGACTCTGAACGTGAAACACTGCTTCCCAAACTCCGAGCCAAGCCTGTCCGTACAGCCTCTGGAATAGCTGTCGTAGCTGTAATGTCCAAGCCTCATCGTTGTCCTCATATAGCTACCACCGGAAACATTTGTGTCTATTGCCCTGGCGGCCCCGATTCTGATTTTGAGTACAGTACACAGTCATACACGGGATATGAACCTACTAGTATGCGAGCTATTCGAGCTAGGTGAGCATCACATACACAGGTGTATTTGCAGTTTGATATTATCTTTCCGTCAATTTGCAATCAAATGGAAGTAGTTATCCTGAATTATGCCTTAGGATTTCGGAATTTCATCTATATACTTTACTGATAAGTGAGAAGCTCATCTATATGTTTCATTTTTTATACCGGAGAAGTTTTGCTGTTATTACCGGAAAGTATCATATATCTGGAGAAAGATTAGGATTTGATGCTGGTTAATGCCTTTTTGCATCCGAGATTTGTTAAACCTTCTATATACTTATTAATTTTTTCTTGTTGGAAAAAAATGTGGCATTCCTTATATGTGGCTAACTAGAAAGTTGTTATATCACTTACTCAAAAAAGTAAACTTTGGAAAGACAAGATCAGGGCTGGTACTTATGTGGTTCATTTTTCTAGATACAATCCTTATGTACAAGCTCGAAGCCGGATTGATCAACTTAAGAGATTGGGTCACAGTGTTGACAAGGTTTTTCTCCTTTGGAAGTACTACTAATTCTTTTCTGATTTTGGAAAATTGTTCTGAAATTGGCTGCTTTCCTCATAGTTACGAATGACTAATTGCAGGTTGAATTTATCTTGATGGGAGGTACATTCATGTCATTGCCTGCTGAATACCGTGATTACTTCACACGGAATCTCCATGATGCTTTATCCGGACATACTTCTGCCAATGTTGAAGAGGCTGTCGCATACTCTGAACATGGGGCGACAAAGTGCATTGGGATGACAATTGAAACGTGAGTAACTATTGGCTGCATGATAGCGGTTTATAATCACAGTGTTTTAGAAAAGAAAAAAAAGGACCACAGGGGAAGTACCTTGAGAAACCTTTTAGCTTATATTTTGGTCCTCTGCAACTGAGATATGCTCTTTTTATCAATTTTATTCTCCTTTTTTTGTCTTGCTTTTTTCATGTGGGAACTGAGTTCAGACTTGGTGTTTAATGCATGATAGTGCATATCCCAGTAAGGAAGAAAACATTTTTTGCGTTCTTATTTTCCTCATCCTCATGATTATAAGCTATCTTTGGTTTTTTAGTTATATTATTATTCTGCGACCTTTGATTTTATTATTGTGATTCTTCTTCTATCATATTAGATTATAAGAACACTGATAACGAGATTGAAAATAGTTTAAACTAAAACAAGAAGCAGACAAGGTGCCTTACTTGATTTCTTTGGAGGCTAGACGCTTGGTTGAGCTACTACTACCTCTGAATAATTTAAGCATATAGCATTTTATTTATATCTTTTATGTGTACTCAAAAGTTTGTATTTTGGCTATAGGAGGCCAGACTACTGCCTTGGACCTCATCTGAGACAAATGCTTTCTTACGGTTGTACGCGGCTAGAAATTGGAGTACAGAGTACGTATGAGGATGTTGCTCGTGACACCAATAGAGGCCACACTGTTGCAGCTGTGGCTGATTGCTTTTGTTTGGCAAAAGATGCTGGCTTCAAGGTGCTTTTCTAATTTCTTTTTGTTGGTAGTTTGGGTTCAATCTCTACTCTTGGTTCCAGGTTACAAAACCCTTCCACCTCTAATAACCTTCACCCTCCCCAAGCAACACAGAATATGAGCCTTGACGAAGAAAGTAAAATGGAAAATCAAATTTACATCCTTAGTTGTGCTGTTATCTTTTGGAAGGATTTGAAATGAAGCTTTGTCTTGAAGCTGTTGACGTGATTTTCACATTCAATTCCCTTCTGTTATATTTTTGAACTTCACAACATACCCAGTTTGAGAACCAAGTGTAATTCCACTTGTGTTGTTTCTTTTGCTTCGATGTATCATTTTCTGTTTTTATTATTCTCTTCTCATTTATTTTTAGCATGGCGTCTTCATTATTGTTTTTCCTTTCCATACTTGATTTTGATATGCTTTACTTGAGCCGAGGATCTATCGTAAACGACCTCTCTACCTTCGCAAGGGTAGATCTTCTCCTTTGTTTCTTTGCCTCTTCCTGTTATCATGATCATGACTGCTACATGATTTCCAAAAGCTCCCACTATGATTAAAAATCTCCCAATAGGCCACAGGGGTAAGGCTGCCTACACCGTTGTACTGGTAAAATTTTCATGCATACCTTTGTTAATTTTTTGTAGGTGGTTGCTCATATGATGCCGGACCTTCCAAATGTTGGCGTTGAAAGAGACTTGGAGAGTTTCAAGGAATTCTTTGAAAGTCCTTCATTTAGGACTGATGGACTTAAAATTTATCCTACACTTGTTATTCGTGGCACAGGACTCTATGAACTGTGGAAAACTGGAAGGTATAGTCTACTTTCTGGATTTTGTTATCGCATGTGTAGTTTTTCCTTCGCTGAAATCATTTATTTAGTCAGTCAATAAGATTTATTTTATCCAACAACCTTGTTGGCAATAACAGTAGCCATATTGTTGGATGCAAACTTGAAAATATTATTTCAATGAGGTCATTAGTCATTACAAGTGTTAACACGTGCAGGTATAGAAATTATCCGCCAGAGCAGCTTGTAGACATTGTAGCAAGGATTCTTTCTATGGTGCCACCCTGGACCCGAGTTTACCGGGTCCAACGTGATATCCCTATGCCTCTAGTGACTTCTGGAGTTGAGAAAGGGAATCTCCGAGAACTGGCTTTAGCTCGAATGGATGATCTTGGCTTGAAATGCCGAGATGTCCGAACACGCGAAGCTGGGATCCAGGTAATATAATTTTGTATTATTTCCTCTCATCTCTTACAGTGTGGTCACAGAACTCAAACTTTTGATGGAAATAACGTATTAGGACATTCACAACAAGATAAGGCCTGAAGAGGTTGAGCTTGTTCGCCGCGATTATACTGCAAATGAAGGATGGGAGACTTTCCTTTCATATGAAGATACACGCCAGGTATGTCAATTCAGCTATGTTTCCCTTTGCCAATTTACAACTCCTTCCTTGCTCTAGTGCCAAGCTAATAAATTGAACTCAATATATTTTGCTGCCAAAAGCGGTAACTGGTTCTAGATTCTTGAACAATAAAAAAAGGTTACTTGTACTAGATTTGTTTACTTCTGCGGTGGGATCAGCACATAACTTGTATACAGTGATGCAAGCAAGCCTTTCTTTTCTTTTTTCTTTTTACATTTTAAGGAAATTTTTTCGGGGTCGTGTCCTGCAATTTAAAAACCGAGGATATTTTTCTTTTGAACTTTTAAATTTGATAAAATTCTAGATAGTAAACAAGTCAAGTGCTGGTAAACTATTGTAAAGTATTCTTTACTTCCACTATGAAGAGTTGATGTAATTGCTGAAGAACTTGTTGTCTCACATCTTTGCCAGTCATTGTACGACTTTAATATAGGAAGGGACCTTTCTTTTGATAATGATGCAGGATATTCTTGTTGGATTGCTACGGCTGCGGAAGTGTGGACGGAATGTGACTTGCCCAGAACTTACGGGAAGGTGTTCAATTGTTCGTGAGCTTCATGTGTATGGGACTGCAGTTCCTGTTCATGGTCGAGACACAGATAAGCTGCAGCACCAGGGTTATGGCACTCTGCTGATGGAGGAGGCTGAGCGGATTGCTCGGAGGGAGCATAGGTCGACCAAAATCGCTGTTATATCGGGTGTAGGGACCCGGCATTACTACAGAAAGCTAGGCTATGAGCTTGAAGGTCCTTACATGGTAAAAAACCTTGTGTAGAAGTATACTTGTTATTTTGCTGCAAGGTCTTACGCCTTGTGACTAATTTTGTATCACAGTAGATTGTATTTTAAATGGTATGCATATTTCGATGTTGGTAAAGACAAGTACCAAAGAGAGAAAGCCACGTGTCTCATTTCAACTTTGAAAGGTTAACAATTATCTTTAATACTAGGTAAATTGATTGTGGTAAACTACGTCAATAATGTATTTACGAACATTTGATAATATAAGTGTTTTTGAGTGGGTATAGTCTTATTATAAATTGTCAAGAATGTTTTATTCAAAGATGAAATGAATTTTTTTTAATCTTAAAATTAAAAAGATTTGATTCTAAATTTTTATGTATTATGTTTTTAATTTATCATTTTATTGTAGTTAGTCATCACCAAAGTCTTTAGAAAATGTATATAATTGTTTCATTGTCTATACTATATTTGTATTTAAAAAAATTGGAACAAACATTTTATTCATCAATTGCGATAAGATCTCTACATAAAAAATATAAATATTATACATCTTATATAATTAGTTGTGTACTTGATAAGTTAATTAATATTTAAAAGGACATCTCTTGGAGTTCAAGGAAACAACGTATTTCACTCAAATAATTTGGATTAAATGATGTCTTGGCAAGTCCCTTATTCAAAATCTGCTTTGATATCGAAAAGCCATATTTTGTTGTTTATGTTTCGATCAATATGGTTAAAATTTTATTTTTTGGCGACTTTAATCTAATATCTATAAGGATATAATTATTTACTTAATATTCATTATTATGGATTCATCCTACTTTGAGGAGTAATTCATTGATTCTAATCAACCATTTGAAACCAAACTTTTGATTAAGGTTGAGTCAATACTTACCATCCCACTACATTCCTTTATTTTTTAAGTGTCACTAATCGATTGAATATCTTAATAAGATAGAAAGTTGAATAATTGAAACTCTAAGGTAGTGCGGAATCACCATAACTTTGAACACTCAAAAGTCCATTCTTGGACACCCCATTGTCTTTTAGTCATTGAAAACATTTAAGTAATTTATTTTAAAAATTAAAGAATTATAATCTACATGACACCAATAGTTTACATAAAACTTTTGACTAACATATTTCAACATAATGAACAAAAGCATAAATCTAAACAACAGAGATATAAAAAAATATACTCAAAAATAGAAATTAATAACATAAGCATAAATTAATGATTGTACAAAATATATCAGGTTCTGTAATAATAGAATAAATGTCTATTTGTAAAAAAACAATGGATAATGTAAATAAATGATTACTGTGTCTTATCGAAAATGTCACAAGTCTTTGAAAAAGTTAGAACCTTTCATAATCGCCACAAATTTTATAAAATAATATTTTAAACCTATCAGTAGTTAAAACTAAAACACTATATTATCATTTATTCTTAATAACATAAGCATAAATTAATAATTGTAAAATTACATACCAAGATTTGTAACATAAGCAATAATGTCAACGAGTCACTCAACATGAACAAATATTTAGTTGTAAAGAAGAAGAAAAAAAGGAGGTTTAATTTTCATTGTTTTAAATGATACAAAAAATCTCTATTTATATACAACAAAGGACAACATGAACAAATGTTTATTGTGCCTTATCGGATTGGTTACAACTATTTAGAAAAGTTACAACCCTTAGGAAAGGTCATAATCTTTCATAAAAGTTACAATTATTCATTAAATTTGCAATTTTTTTTATAAAAGTCACAACTTTTCAAAAATAGTTCTACTGCTCGAACCGACTAAACAGGTTGTTACAAACTTAAAATATAACATTTAGAGTTTGAGAAACAAATTTGATATATTCATACATCACTTAGTTCCAGATGCATTTTTTAAAGGCCAACTGGTCTGGCGGGATCCCTGTACTTGTATGTGTTTGTATTATAAACTCTTCTATTTACTTTTTTCGTTCGGTATTGTTTGTCATGGTTTCTATTTTTAGAGTTAAACTATAAAAACTTTGACTAACATTTTAAGATGAATTTTTTCATCATATTAATATGCAAAAAAATGTAATTTATAGTACTTTTCATATAGTTTTAGAATATCTATTTTTTTTTTGTTTTAAATATTGAATTAATGTGATCTAATTTACCATTGAAAATTAATCAAATTGACTTTCGATAAGCGCAACATGACAAACAATTCCGGACGGAGGGAGTAACTATTTACCAACTAAACCTTAAACTTAATCAAACAAATATTTTCAAACCCCTCTCGTCATGTGTGTAGTTCACTCGCCTTGAATAAATGACATGTCGAATCAATATCACGTAAATTAATTACATGTCAGAATTATCTTTATTATTTATTTTTAAAAAAATACTAAACAAAGTTTTATTGAATAAAACATAAAATAATAAATTTTAAATTTATTAAATTTTGGGACTCCACATCTCTTTAATAGTGTAACATCTAAATTCCCCAATGAAAGTCGTCGTCGCCGCCGCTTTTCTTGCTGGCAAGACCTGCAGGTCTCCATCTTCGTTACAAACCTCACTATTTTTCTTACCTCTTTCTCCAACCTCCACAAAATTAATAAACCTAAGCCGAAACACCACTGACGACCACTACGAGTCACCAGGATCGTCTCTCTTCTCCATCCTCTCCGTCATACCAATAAACCCCCTCGCCGCCTCCCAATCTGGTGAAAAATGATTAGTGTCGCCTCTCTTTACTTCATTTTGAATTAGTAGACTCCGACGAGGCGATCAATGTCACTTTCTCCCTTCAGTAATAACAACTTAAAATGTGACGATAAAGAGATGTCAATATTCTGCTAAAGGTGATACAAAGTGTATAGAAGAAAGAAAAATGGGCGGGGCAAGAATGGAGATGGCGCCTGCAGTTTAAGAGGAAGACATTTTTTAATTTTCTTTTTCTTTTTTAAATTTCTTATTTTGGTTTTTAGTTTTTTTTTTTAATTGAATATGTTACTTTAAAATATTTTTAAAATTTAAATATGTCACTCGCCTTTTCATGAGTGTTGTCACACTCTTATGCCAACTCAATCATTTTAATGTCTTATAAGACTAATTAATGGTAAGAGCGTGGATATATGGTATTTTATTGAGTTTAAGGATTAAGTTGATAATTTTTAAATAGAAGAGTTCACAATACAAACTTATACAAGTACAAGCGTCCGCCAGACAATTTCACTATTTTAAAATTTATACTTCACTTTTTTTTTTATACAAATCTTCATCAAACATGTTTAACTATCTACCAACTGAAATTCAAACCAAATTATTCAAGATATTATTTTTTATTATTTTAGAAAAACAAAAGAATATTATTCCAAATAGGTATTTATTAATTGAAATTAACTTATTATTTCAATTTCAAACCTAAAATATGATTATTTTTTTTTAGATTTACGAATTTAATAAATAATATTTATGAGACATTGTTATTTATGACTATTTAGATGGGATTTACTTTAGTTTGAATGTTATTTAAAACAAATTATGTTTATTTTTCCTTGTTGAGTAGTGTAAAAGTAATCCACCTCATTTTTACTTTCCGACATATCCCTTCATGTAATATCAATACGATACATTATATATTTCTATTGATTTCTTTTTGGTGTAAAATAAAAAGGTCTTTTCTCTAAGACTCTTTTTCGTAATTGGCTTAGTCAAATAAACAGATACATAATCCATTTTTATTATGAAAGTTGTTTCTCATTGTTTAAATCAATAGAGTATTTATGTTTCACATAAGAAAAAGTCCACTTAAATTCTTCAATTAACTTATCTTATTGAGCTTCCATTTCAGTATCAGTCATTCAACAATGTGAGCGTTTCACTCCTTACAACTAACTCATCTTATTGAACTTCTCTCTTGATATTAGATGTCCACAACACAAAATACTGTAACTCTCTTGTCCTTAATCTCGAGACGAAAAATTAACTTTTCTCATTGAATCAAATGTCTTGATATGACATCTTCAATATTGTAAAAATTGTTATTCTCTCATTCTCAACGATTCAATAATAAACTAAACAGAAATTTTTTTCTCTTAAATAATCACTTATATTACTGTAAGTTATAAATATGAACATATTTGCTATCTGGCTTGGTTAGACAAGCAAAGAAGGATCATATGCCACCGATGACTGGCTTGCCTATCTAGTATCCAGTACTAGGACTAATAGAATAGAGGCACTACTGGGCGTGAATTCCTCGATCGCAACTTCTCGCTTAGCTAACTGCCAGACAAGGATGCAAATCAATCAATTCCTCATATAGAATGCAGATCGATACATTCAATGAAGCAAACCAATACGACAGATAAGCTACTTTCTTATTCTAGGACTGGAAGATTAACTATCTATTAGCATACCCGTACCGACAGTCAGACTAGCACTCTCCCCCCAATCAAACACAGTAACTGACTGTAAGAGTGCTAATTATTTGCTATATATGTCATGCTTGACAGGCGAATATGAGAAAGAAGCTGTAAATGCATTTTTTTAAATCCAAACGTACTTCAAATTTTAAACATTTTCCCCTTCATTTTTTTCTACTTTTATATCAATCAATTTATGTCCAAACACCAGCTTAAAATAAGGGAGAAGCAAGAGAAAGTGTGAGAAAAAGTGTGAAGGTGGAATCATCCTATCCAAATTAATTTTGGATTCATCCTCTCCGCACCAACCCACGGCTACTCACATCTCAAAATACATTATTTATTACTCCTAAATCCTAATATATAATAAATTTCACACACCAAAGAAGAAACCCAAACAACTCTCTCTCTCTCCTTTTTCTCTCTATCTCTCTCCAGAGTTTTTTGGTCTCCGGGAAATGGTTGCGACGAGACGAAGTGGATCTCTGCCGTCGACTGTTAAACGGTCGGCCTCCTCCTCCGATGATTCTTCTTCTAAGCGACAAAAGGTAATCTTTTTCTTTTTCTTCTTCAGCTCACTCTAATTTATCTGCCTGTTCGGTGAATCGATTTTATTTGTGTGGATGATTTTAGGTGGTAGATAATAATAACAATAATAATAATGCGGAGTCGTCGGAGAAACCCAAGTCTCCTCCACCGACGGAGAATCCCAAGGAGTTGTCTTCTACTGACCCGCCGGAATTCGCCGCCGTTACAGCTCCCGACGGTGAGACCACCGCCGTTCCCGCCGCGAAGGGTGAAGATGCACCTTCCGTATCCGTTGTAGCAACTCCTATTGCAGAAGGTAACTTTTTTTGAACTGAAGTTACTGTCTTGTCTACTTGATCATGTTTAAAGTAATTTTTTTTTCCTGGGGTTTTAGGGGCGACGCCTGCTATAGTTGATAAGCCCAGGAGTTCGGTGACTTTGAGGAAGCTGAATCAAGGTTCGGAAACAACATCGCCTTGGTGTAGGCTTATATCAGAGTTTCCTCAGGTGAACTTTGTTGGTTCAAGATTTTTTTTTCTCTTGGTCGGAGTTTATGTTTTGTTGTTATGGATTTGTTACTGGTTTCATGTATGTGCTGCAGAACCCAACTATTCATGTTTCAGCTACGAATTTCTTGATTGGTTCTAGCAAAAATGCTCATCTTCCTATCAAGCAACAAACAGTTAGTGCAACCTTATGTTCAATAAGGCTTACACAGGTATTGCTTAAATTTCTTGTCTTTACCCTGATTATAGTCTCAAATTTTGTTGCTATCTGCCCATGGTTTTAAGACTATTCCTTGTGCTAGTGATGGTATTGATAGACTGATTTAGAAAAAAAAGGAAAAAGTTACTTTGGCTCTTGTGGATTTTTTTCTGCCCTTCCTTGTCAGTTCACACACTGTTTCTTTCCGATATTGCAATAAGAACAAATCTGTAGCACTATCTAACTTGGCGTGGCCCAGCCATTTTTTCATGAATCTCTGGTGCTAGACTGTAACAGCTATCAACCATGTTCATTAAAGTTTACATTCCTGGTCTGAAACTTTATTGAGTAGTTTCAGAAATTCTCTGTGTTGGCTGAAACTGTGCTAATTATTTGGAATAGAAAATCTTTGGGTGAGCTCAGAGATTTTGCCAATACTTGGCTTTGAACCACTGCATATGAAATTCCACTGCTTGGAATAACTACATCTGTGCTCATTTTGGTGTTATTTTTAATGGAGATGAACTTCATACTGTGTATATTAAGTATGAGTACTCATTGTTTGTGGAAATGGTCGTCAGCATGAAGGGAATTGGGTTGCTGTGCTTGAGAGCAGGGGCAAAGGATCTGTGCAAGTTAATGGAAAGACAGTTCGGAGAAGCACTAGTTGCATTCTCAATTCAGGCGATGAGCTTGTTTTTGGTGTTACAGGGAGTCATGCTTATGTATCCTTAAAGTCGCTTCCAAATTTCCTACATCTCTTGATTATTATGTAAAAACCATATTCAAAATAAATTTAAATTCCTACCTCTCTTTTTATTTTTCAGATTTTTTTTGGGTTTAGTAAAGTTCTGTTTACGTTTTTGGCCACATAATATGTAGGAATATCCTTAACCTTTTTCTTGTATAGATATTTGAGCAGCTGCCATATGAGCTTGGAGTTAAGTCACCTCCTTCAGATGTTAGGACCAGTGCAGGAAAATTGCTTCGCGTTGAGAGAAGAGCAGGAGATGCGTCAGCTGTAGCAGGTGCTTCCATTTTGGCATCGCTTTCAAGCCTGAGGCAAGACCCATCGCGCTTGAAACCTACGTCTCAGGTTAGTGGGAATGAGCTGCCTTCTTCCCCTGTTATTCATGAAGATGAGCTTGATGGCCTCGAAGTCGATTCAGCTGCACATGTTGGCAGCAGCAGTGCTGCTGATGTTTCATTGACTAGCAAAATTCCCCCGCTTGATGGAAACCTGAACGATAGCAGAGAGGCAGGCAACGTAAAGTGTCTGACTGATTTATTTCTTCTTGGTCTTCTATTATGGAATTGAGCCCACTGATATGTGAGATGAACTAATTAGAATTATATATGGACAGATGCCGGAGGAAAGAGAGTGGAACAGAGATTCAATACCAGCTTCCGCAGCAGGGGTGTCTCTAAGATGTGCAGTATTTAAAGAAGAGATTCATGCTGCAATAGTTGATGGACAACAACTAGATGTTTCATTTGATAGCTTCCCATATTACTTGAGGTATTCGCCAAGACCACAATGCATTATCCCATTTACATCGTATACTTAATATGCAACTGGTTTATATGCTATATGTTCTGATTGAGTTGAATGATATGGTATTTATGAGTGTATTTTGTAGTTTCTTGTTCATGTTTTTACTTGAATGAAGCAGGTTTTGCTTTAAGCCCCAGGGACTTGTTCCTAAATGATGTTAACGTGTAACAACTTATGCCAATGTGTTAGGAGAGTCATAATCATATCTTATCTGTGAAGTTCCAATATTGCACCTTAGTCCTCACATACTACACACTCTTTCAAGTAAGCTGTTTTTATTGCCCCTGCTTTGGTCAATTTCCATGTCAAAAACTTTGTGCATTAACTCATGTGGCAAAAGTGGTATTAGTTGAATGTGAAATGCTACTGCAAGAAAGGAAAAACAAAGAAGCTAACTTAATCTTTTTTCTGGCATTTAAAATTTAAAATATAATTGTACATGTCCTCAATGCATTTCTTTCAAAATTTTATGCCTATGTGGGAGCTAAAAGTTTATCATTAGTAAGAAGTTTGTTGACAACTAGGAGGTTGAGTTAGGGGATACAGTAATTTAGTAGGTATTTGGACAATATTTAAGTTGAAGTTTGTCCAGTGACAAGGCTGATTGTTCCTAGTTTTTTGACTGAAAAGTATAGCTTCCGCTATGTCCAACTCAGCAAGGAACTTTTTATCAGCTGGGATGTTGGGGGAACAATGAGAAAACCTTTGAGGAGGATTCGGAACCCAATTCCTGCTCGTCATGTTGGGTGGTGTGGAAGGAAAGGATTACGAGATGTTTCAAAAGGAAAGTAGATGCTATACCGAAGATCAAATTCAGATATTTATGGATTTTGACTTTTGGTGCAACCTGCAGGATGTCAATGATGAAAATAGCATGCTCATTGTTTCTCTACAGGAAATCAGGAATAGTACTTTGTACAGAAGGAATCCGCCATTTTTGTTGATATTGGAGGATTTCTGTATTTCTAATGTCCTGGCACATTCTTAATGCGAGGCTGATTCTTATTTTCTTATTCAGTAATATAATCAATATTTACCTGTTAGCTGTTAAAAAAGAAGAAGTTGAAAAACAAGTGTATTTAAGGTAAGTTGGAAAAAAGTTTGGGGAATTTGTTGAAGCTAAATGATAACACAACTTCTTATAACGTACAAGCGGGAGTATGGGCTGCAGCATGTAGTTCCTCTCTTTCTTCTCCCCAGATTTTTGTGTGTGTGTGGTGGGTGAGGGGTAATCATATCATCATTTTTCTGTGTGAAATATCATACAGTTGTTTTTTCTTCACTACTAAAATAACCTTTCAAATTTTTAAGCAGCATGAAGCCCTATTCTCCAATAAAGGTTCGGATCTACTGATTTTTATGTCTGTCTTATATGTGATGAAAGTTCAAACTCAAAAATGTGATTTCTTTCAGGTGGCCTGATGCAGTAAGTGCATTACTTGAGTTATTAACAAACCTCATTTTAGTTGCTAAAAGAATGTGTTTAATTTCTGGTCCTTACTGTGAGTGAGTGAGCGTTGTAGTGCTAAAAATTCTGTTGGGTTATTTACAAGGATTAATTGTGCCTCGTTTTTGTTCTTAATTGGTTTAGCAATCCCATAGTTGTTAACATCATTAAATAGTTAATATATCCAATTGCCATGATTAGTGAAGATTCATTCTATATCTGATCTTACAGCGAGAACACAAAAAATGTGCTGATTGCGGCTTCATATATACACCTGAAGCATAAAGAACAAGTAAAATATACTTCTGAGTTATCCACTATCAACCCAAGAATTCTGCTCTCAGGCCCTGCAGGTAAGTCGCTTTCCTTAGCAAGTTTTGATGAAAAGCTTCTTATGAATTGTGTCTCGTAGAATCTTGGTAGTAAATTTTCATATTTGCGTGTTAACTACTTATGTTTTTGTATAGCAGGATCCGAGATTTATCAGGAGATGCTGGCAAAGGCACTAGCTCATTATTATGGAGCAAAATTGCTCATCTTTGATAGCCATTCCTTTTTGGGTGTAAGATGATATTCATGTTATCTTTTTTTTTTTTGAGGGTGGATTGCATGATACCCTTATCATGGTTTTCTTAGTCGTGTTTCACCTCTCTTGTTTCTGAAATACTTTGATTCCTAGATCCTATCTTTGTCACGTGAACTTTGTGTATGATTGCTTACTTTGCCCGCTTGTCCTGGACAACATTGTTGGTGTTTATGGACCTCTTTCTGGATCTTTATATATGTAACAGAAACAATATTATATGTTGGTTTGGTCACTAAAAGGACAGTTAGCCAGGTTGACATATTGGATGATATGGGAGTAACATCAAAATTTGGAGAAATTCTCTTTTCTCCAGGTGTGTTAGGTAGGGGGGATTTCACATGTCTCCCTAATTTGCAACAGTGGGAATCTGTGTTCTATTTCTTATTTTGTAGATACTGGAATTATCTAAAAAAAATTTTCACGTTTGGTTTTGTCACACACTTGCCCCTTTACTGCTGTTAAATTGTTATGTTCTCTCTTATGGATTGCTATGTTGTCATTCAGGGTCTATCAGCAAAGGAGGCTGAATTACTAAAAGAGGGAGGCAGTGCACATAAGATTTCTGCTAACTCCAAACAGATTCCTGGAGAACCTGATTTGTCTAAGGGCAATGGGTCATCATCTGGTCAAGTAACTAATGCTAACACTCTGACTGATCCTTTGGGTTTGGAAGCACACCCAAAGATGGAGATTGGCAATGTACCATCTTTAGCCGGGACATCAAAGAATACCTTGTTCAAGATAGGTATTGCCATTGGGTTCTAATATTTATTAATTGTTACTGCATCTAGTTTTTTTTTGATTGATTTGACTATATAAGCATTCTACAGTTTCTTTTGCTCTTTTACCCTAATAACCGATGTTGGTAATATTTAGGTGATAAAGTGAGGTTCATTGGTTCTGCTTCTGGTGGTTTATATTCAAACTCCACCAGGTAAGTTCTAGGGAACACTTTCTCCTTAAGACCTTCTACTATTCACTCTTTCTGGACCCAAATGAGTTGTATTATACATTATGTGATGTTATATTATAGTTCTTTGTTGATATTGTATTTGTTCTTTGTTCTGAAACTTTTTTCTTTATTTTTGAATTTGGATGCATTTGGAAATGATTTACTACTTTTGCTCACAGCAGTATAACTATTATGGTTATCAAGAGATAGATATCAACCACAAATAAATTGAAGGTAGAATAACTTGTCTATGTTAGATATTAGGAGTGCAATGGAGGAGAAGAAGAACAATGTAGTTGTCAATTCTTGTTTTTAGTAGTCCATTTGTCCAAGCTTCTAGGAGGCCAAAAAGCACTTCTTCCGGGGATTTGAGGTTGTTTGGCCAAAATAAAAAGAGCCTTTGAGCAGCAATAGAAGCAACTTTTTTGTAGGTCGGGAGAAGCTAGATATTTATGCTTCTTCCATGACAAGAAGCAGAAATTTAATCCTTTCTAGACGAAATATCCTTACTAAAAATCTACAATCTTTAAAAAGATTCCTTACCCAAAGTTCATATTTACCACATTATCTCTCATTAATATAACCAATATATTTCTCAAATATAAATACAAACCTCTTCTCTTCTTTCTTTTTTTGCTTAAAATATTTACATTGATTAAAAGTGGTACATTTCCATTTATGTTTTAAATTTTAACTTAATAAAAATAAAAAACATAATTAGAGTCTTCCAAAAAAAATATTAAAATCGTGTCCCTATTCAATAATATTAATTAAAATGAATCTTAACGCTGTCATTTTTTTGTAGTTTAATACTCAGAAGCACTTGTAGAAAGATTGGTCAAACACAATCAGTTCACCAGAAGTACTTTTCTGTAAGCTATTTTGACTAAAGTGCTTTTCAGAAAAAGCTTTGGAAGTTTGACCAAACAGGCTCCAGGTCCATTTGTGGGACGACTCATGGACTTGTGTAGAAAATGTAGAAAAGTTAATTTTTTTCTTTTTATCTGGCCACAAGTGACCTTGTGAAAAGAACATAGTTTAGTCAATAATGGCAATGGTGCCCATGGTGATGAGTTTGGAACTTTAAGAAGAGCTCATTTTAAGTCAATCAACTCATATTAGTTCCTCTTTTTCTTTCCTAGGAAACCAAAACACATGAACATGTTTGCTATCTATATTTCTATTTAAGTGGCGTAGTTTTTTGCTCATTTAAACAGATTCAGATACATTTGAATGAAAGTTGTTGTGCTAATATTTATTTTGTTTACTATGAGCCCCTGGGAAGCAGGTGGTCTTCCACTTTTCTCTATAAATTTCCTCATTGTACCACCATTCTGCCAGAGAACTAGGGAAGTATTTGAGGTACAGCCCCCCCCCCCCCCCGCCCTCCCAAAAAAATAAAATAAATAAAAAAAGTCCAATTTAATAATATGGGGGAATTGGAAGTGTAAGAGTTTTGATCTTGCTGTAAGGATATTCATAATGAATATAAAATAATCCGCAGAGGCGATCAAGTGCAGAAATCCCCTATAAGTTATAACCTATTTGGAGACCCCATTTTATTGATAATGGTGATTTTGTTGTTCTCTTTAAGCATCTTGGTCCAGTGTTGCTTGTCCTGTGATGGTCGTGTAAGCTGTAACTAGTGGTGGATGTATCTTAGAGCTATGGTTGAACTGAACCCAATATCTTTTACCTGGGTATAAATATGTGTGAAAATAATAAAATTTCAACAAACTTTAGAGGTCCTGTAAAGGAGAATTGTCCTTTGAAACAATTCCGGAAAGTGAATATCCCTGTGAAGGTGTCATTCTGTCTGGTTGGTGATTACGAAAGCTTGCCTAACTCAAGTTAAGCTACAAAAAAGAGGTTTTCAGATTTGTTCAAGATGGCTTTTGTGTGAACAGGATGGTGAAAACAATGAACACTTATCTCTACATTTCAGGACAACTATAAATCTGTGGCACATGTTCTTTTGTATTTTAGGGATAACTTGGGTAATACCTAGTTCTACTTTGGCATTAATGAATAATTGGTGGAATATTGGGAATAGAGGTGGGAGGAGGACTGGTGGAAGATCATTCCTGCTTGCATTTTGTGGACAATGTGGAAGGAAAGGAATGGTGGACATTTAGAAGGCACTAGCAGTTCTATCGAGAAAATTAGGATGAATTGTCTTAGCTTGTTCTTTTTTTGGTGTAAACAGAATATGCGGGGGGAAGTAGGAGAGTGAGTATGTTAAATTGGCAATATATAATTGTATAGGGTTTTGAGGAGGGGTTTAAGCACCTTTTCGATGCTTGTAAAGTTTCTAACTTAGCACCTTTTTCTGGGGTGACTAAGCTTGAATAAAATTGTTACTTGTGTCAAAAATAAATAAATTCAACAAACTTCAGATTTTGAACCCATAATCTTGAAGATTGAACATGAAATTGAAGTCCTAGATCTGCCTCTCGACTCGTAACTGCCATTTCTTGTAGATATGATGTATATGTAATAGGGGAAAAATGGTCTTTTCTCCAATTTCTTTGATCCTTAAATACCTCTGCAAAATGAATTTCTTATCTGTTAGTCTAGAATAATAATGGAATTTTACTTTTTTTTTGGTTATCAGCAAGTCAGATCAGTGATCATGTTTGTAGTACAGTTATTTGCGTTCTACTAATAAGAATATGTCGGAAAGATTAGCTCAGACTATTTTACAGCTTTATCTGGATCAATTTGGAAGTTTTAACAGTACTTGACATGGGAATTTTGTGTGGATACATGATAGTGAGATCGCATGTATTTTCCTGTTAAAAGATAATTAGATATATGACACAAAGAAGATGGGGAGTAGGAAAGGGGTAGACTAGATTTGGTTTGAATTATTTTCTTAACTTTATGCCCATAGGAGGCTTTTGGAGGTTCAGAGATTCAACTAAAAGAAATTCGAAATATAATTGTTAAGATGAAAGTAATAGGTGGCAAGTCCGTTTTATCAATGGGTTACCAGTGAAATTGAAGGTTATTTTTTCTAACAATATGTTTGAAGTAACATATGTTTTTGGTGTAATCAATTATACTCAAATGATACTATCTCCTTAACTGATGTACTTGATTCAATTTAGTTAAAGATAGTAGAATTTGAAGTACATGTTGTAAATACTGATCAGTGTACTGACTTTTGAGGAATAGACAAAGTTACCGTTTTAAAAAAAAACACACACAATATGTTTGAAGTAACATTAGGCTTGCAACTTGCATGAATTGATTGAATTCAGTGCCATTCCCAAATGTATGAATGGGTTACCTTTTATATCTGTTTTTTTTTTCAATTTTCGGAGCTTTTAAATTGGCGATGTTTGATTGAATATTGTTCTGGGACTAGCCATGCATGCTTTACTTGCAACTTTGTTTTGTGTTTTTTGTTGTTGTTAACTTTATGTTTAACTTGAATCTCGATGCTTTCTCGATAATTTGATTTCATATGGACTTCCATTATGGAAGCATATAATTTTAAAGATAAAAATCTGTATAATGCTTCATTTTTTATTGGGACAAAGCAATGCTTCTTTTTTATCCTCCTTATTATAGTTTGTTTTTGAGATTTTGGATTGTAGTCCTTAACTTCCTCATATAATCGATTGTAAATTAGTCATGCTAGTATATTTTATCCTGAAACAGTGCCTATAACAATGCAGTTTAGAACTGTTTTATTTAACCTTGTCTATCTTGGTCCAAATTACTAGGGGGCCAACTTTTGGTACTCGAGGGAAGATTGTGTTGCCTTTTGAAGATAATGCATTATCAAAAATTGGTGTAAGGTTTGATAAGCCTATACCAGACGGGGTTAACTTTGGGGGTCTTTGTGATGATGGTCATGGATTTTTTTGCAAGGGTATTGCCCACATGGTCTTACTTTCTTTCTCTTTAATTTGTCAAGTTCAGTAATGCTGAAGTTAGTTTTCTTTGCTATTTGTCATTCCCTTTCTCTCTTTCAGCCAGCGAACTACGCTTGGAATCCACAGGTGCTGATGATCTGGACAAATTACTCATTAGCACGTTGTTTGAGGTTTGATCGTTACAATTACTTTGAGAACTAATGCTATTGGACTTGTGTTAATTTTTTCTGGTTATTCTGAGGACCTAATAATCTCTGTAAATTTTGTTCGGTTTGTAAGGTCGTATTCAGCGAGAGCAGAAAGTCTCCCTTCATTTTATTTATGAAAGATGCTGAGAAATCAATGGCAGGGAGTTCAGAATCATATACAACTTTTAAAAATCGACTTGAAAAGCTTCCTGGTAACATCATTGTTATTGGATCTCATGCACATACAGATAACCGCAAGGAAAAGGTATTTTACTTTCCAGGTTGTCAAATGTAGTGGTATACAATTAATTTTGTTTTTGGTTTGAGCATGCTGTGTGTTAAGATCCCTCTGGCGTGAGTCTCTTTGGTTAAGTTTATTGATTAAAGAAGACATAGGTGCAAAGGCTCTACAGAGTTGAGGGATAAGGAAGCGAGAGATGTATCTTTTGTTTGTGGTTAACTCCTAACTTGTAGTTTGGCTGCTGTTGACCCAGTGATCAGACCACTAATCTGGTTCATGATTAGTCCGAGTTCAAAAAAATGTGTCCAAAGAAATGCCAAGGGTGTGATAACCCAAAAGACAAACAGACAAGTTAGCTGCTGTCATGCTTGCGACAAGGGCAGGTTTTCTCGTAAAAGAGAGCAGGCAGAGAGGTGTGACTGACTAAGAAAGTTCTAGTATGATTGTAGGATCCAAATGGGAATTTATAAATAGAGATATTATTGAGGATTGAATGCCTAACTTTGCTTTATTATATGCTTTGTTATTAAACATGCAGATACAACATAAATAGTTCTCAAAGTTCCTTATGATATCAATTTCGTAATTTTTTGCTGTCTTATCAGACTTTTTGCTTTCTTGCTCCTTTTCTTCTCCTCTGGAGGAGATGTATTGTGTGTGGGCTTTAACTTTTATTTTGAACTAGTCAATCTTTGTGTTTAACTATTTTTTAGTTGGAATAAGGTCTAACCTTTTCCCGATCTGCCCGCTGTAGTCACATCCAGGGGGGTTGCTCTTCACCAAATTCGGCAGCAATCAAACTGCTTTGCTCGATTTGGCTTTCCCGGTATGTACTCTCAATCTTTTATTCCGTTATTTTTTTTTTTGAGAAAGGTAACATATTTGCATGTATAAAATAAAATTTAGCTACACCAAGAAACTATGTAGTCTCCCATAATTACAAGGTGCACAAAGAACACTCCTAATCCTTTGTCATCTCACAAGGATTCTGAAATATCAAAAGTAGATTCATTATCTTCTAAATGCTTCCCTTTTTACACTAAAATAAAACAACACCAAACCCTTCATTTTTATCTTCTGAATGTCGCTAGACTTGTCTCCAAAACATATTTGATTCCTCCCTTCCCATATTGTCCACCAAATACAAACAAGTGCCAATTCTCTTTGATTTGACTTCTTTCCTTCTTATTTGTGGAATTTTTTTCTTTTCACCTACTTCTTTAAGTTATTACATCGGAAATAATTGGATTCGGGCGACCCTAAGCCTGTCAGTTCAAATGGTTTCCTCTTGTCTGGATGTAATCCGTTCCTTGTGCCAATGTCACTCTTACGTGGACTTTTTTTTACATTACAAACTTAAACCACTGGCTTATACTACTCAAATTTGTTGACCTCAGGATAGTTTTGGGAAGTTGCATGACAGGGGAAAGGAAGTGACCAAGACAACTAAACTTCTGACAAAGCTTTTCCCCAACAAAGTGACCATTCACATGCCACAGGTCTGTTTTCAGTTTTTTCTTTTATAATTTCTGGTGTTATTACTGTCTTGCCTAGCTGATGAGTGCCTATGGGTATTGCAGGATGAAGCGCTTTTATCTGATTGGAAGCAACAGTTGGATCGAGATGCTGATACCCTCAAAATGAAAGGAAATTTGAATAGCTTGCGAACAGTAAGGGCCTGTAACCTATCTTTCACCTGTTTGTTGATTATGTTGTTGCTAATCATCCTTGCTGTAAGTGGAAACTTAATATTTGAACCGTTCAGTATCTAAATCAATTGACATCTCTGCATTCTTATGAAGCTACAAGCTTCTTGGATGTGGTAGTTATATATCTCGACGTGAATTTTTCTTTTGGTTATATATAAAATAAGCCGAAGAGAAGCAACTGTTATGTTGGCATACATCAAAGTTTGATGAGAAGACGTGCCTTGTTGTTCCTGTTATTTTTTTACATATATATATATATATATATATATTTATTTATATATATATATATATAA